ATCTTACTCATCTTTTTGCTCTTTCTTTTTGAGTGTGAAAAATCCTAAAGTAAAATCAATACATCCAAAGCCAATTTTATCATCTCAACCCCCTCAAATTAGAAGGTCATCATGCCCTCCCTTACTCAGATGATGTAATTTTCAATATCCTGGCTTCAAATTCTGAGTCAACTTTAACATTTCCTTTTTCTTTGCCAAAGTATTACATCAAATTACATGATTTGTTTCTTTATGTTTTCTCTTGTATTCTCAGTGAAATGAGTTAAATTCAGGTCCTAATTGAATGGAATTATTTGTGCATCATATTTTTGACAACTTCCTCTTTGGTCACTGTGCTTCTGTTTTTGTTCACTCTATTCAACAACTACTGGGAGTTTAGTGCCTGTCAGGCACAATTTGATCTGCTGGGGTTGAAATCATGAATAATATAGAAAATGATCCAGTTCTCATAGAAAGAACTAAGTTAGATTAGGAGAGAGAATCAATTGATTCCCTGTAATATTATTTTGAAAAAGCACAAAGCAAAATAAGGGGGCAGACAGTGAGAGAGGCTGCTATTTTAGAGAAATAGGTAATGAAGATCTTTTTAAGGAGTTAAGATTTAAACAGAGAATTGAATGGAATGTAGGAAAGTCATTTAGACCTGGGAAAAGTAGGCTTTATGTGGAGGGTCTGGCAGATGCTAAGGCTCTGAGATGAATTAAATTTGGTATGTGTTTCAAGAACTTCAAGTAGTACAGCATGGCTGTAGGAGGAGCAAGGAGCAGGAGATGTTGGCAATGCAGCCAAAGCTACCACAATCCATAGCAAGAGTGTGGACTCTATTCTAGAGGTGATAGGAAGAAAGGTGACTGAAGTGTTTGAAGCAGGAGAATAACATGATCCAACTTAAAATACCGCTTTGGTTGGTTGGAAAACAATATGTATGTGGACAAGAGGGGAAGCAGGGAGAATATAGGTCAGTTCCAGCTAAAGTACAAGAGGGAACTGCTAGTGGCTTGAAAGTGTTAGTGGAGGAAGTGGTGAGAAGTAGGCAGAGCCTGAGTGTACTCTGCAGACAGGGCAGTAGGAAAGACTGTACTGTGTGAGAGAAAAGAGCCAGGATGACTGAGAAGTGAAAGCATGGCAATATCTAGGAGGAGCAGTCTGACTTGGTTCAAGGGTCCTTGCTGGGTATGTGATGTATATGTAGGAGTTCTGTTCCAAGCATTTTAATTTAGATATTTGTATTGAGCAGTCCCCATTTTACCCTGACTTCAAGAGCACAATCATATTAAGCTCCCTAAAATAAACTTGCAGCATGTTATTACCCTATCCATAAATCTTTGGCAGAATCTTACCGCTTCCTAAGTAAACTCTGAACTCCTAAATCTGAAAGTCAACATTTTCCACAATGACTCCTCTCTCCAACTGTCCCCACCTCTTGTTCATCTGCATTCCTCAGAGTGCCTGGGAGATAAGAATATGTTCAATAATACACTTGTTGAGTTAATAAAAAATACTTGTGTTCATCCTTCACTCTACACAAGAGTCCACTAAAGCTGAACTCAAGAAATCTTTCCCAGTCAAACTGGCTGTATCACTCCTCTCTACTCTATTCATACTCCTTCCCAATGTTATGTTCATGAATGTTTAACAGCTTTGAACAACACAGGCCTGATATGTAGTAGTTGCTGGTATATGTGCTATAAATACTCCCATGTTGGGTAACTCCCAATCATAAATATGACTTTGCTGAATATGAAGGTGGGAAGTCGTGCAAAGCATGCTGGTAGGAGCCCGTTACAGCACATCATTGTTCCTATAGTACAAACTGTGCAGATCATTATAAAGCCATTTAATATATAGTGACTTATTGTAGGCATCTACATACAAATCTTCTTCTTACTAAATTATAAATTTGTAGAGAATGAATACTGTGTCTTAAATATGGCTATAATCAGCTAAATGATCTTAGGGCCTCAAAGTTCAAAATGAAGAGTCCAGACCCAAACCATAAAATTCTGCAATATGTCTGAATGATTTGTAAGTCTCTCATATTTCTCAGTCTACTGTTTTAAATGAGGCATTGGAATAATAAGTCATTATAATGGACTGAAAATAAAATCTGTCTTGAGAAAGGAAAAATAAAGGAATAGAAGGTGACATTTTAGGAACACAAATAGAAAATATGGTCACAGAGGACTATATTAAGACAAAGCTGAAGAATAAGAATGTAGTTCTTTTGCTTTAAAGGAATTGAAATATAAATTGGTTAACCCAGGAAGCATAATTAGTTAGACTAATTATAATTGTCAGACAGAAAAAAGAACACAATAAAATATTAAACGAAAACTAAAAGATATGAAATTAGATTCTTACTGGAGTTTTTGAAAATTTTCATAAAATAAAAAATCATCTAATTCAAGAAAAGTGAAATTCCTACGCTGTTCTATGCCCAATTTTTTGGTAAGTCAGCCAAGAAATATAATTTAAATCAAATTAGCTCTAAATAGTTCCAATTCACAGGAATGATAGATTATTTTATGTTTTCTCTGCTTTAATTAGGATGAAATATAGACTAACTAATGCACCAAAGAAAAGATTCATGTTCAGTTCCCATAAAATAAGTTAAAATATGTGAAAATGCAGACCCTCTGCTAGTTTTCATAATGTGTGTTTCTGCCTAAGGCCTGGTCATCTCCTTCAATTCTTACTCCCTTAATACCCCATATCCTGAACCAGGTATATTTTCTCTAAGTATCGTGGTGGGGTAGTGGGGGTAGCAGGGGACTAGGGCATGGAGGGGACTAGGGCATGGAAGGGTCCTGGCTGTGTGAGTGACAAGGATTAGTAAGGACAATAAGAGGTAACAAGAGTGAAACCGTTGTAGAGGTTAGGGCTGGAGTGAAGAGTAGAGGAAACAGAGCTTATCAAGAGCCAGGCATGTGGGAAGTGGTAGCGTGGGTATCAAGAATCCATCCAAAAGAGTCAAGAGAATAAGAAGCAAAGAGTCGGGGCCTCCCCGGTGGCACAGTGGGTTGAGCACAGCGCTGTGAAGCTGTCCACAGCCTCTGCAGCGTGGGTTTGATTCCCAGCCGGCCAGGGAGATTCCCACATGGCATGGCAGACCTCTCCTGTCTCGCCCACTGCTCCCCTCAGCAGTGCTTTTGGTTCATCTGCCTGTTTTGCTCCCCACTCTATCTCTGGTGAATCCTCTCACCCTCCCGCACCTCTGGCCTGTACCACAGCTATTGTATAAATAAAAAATAAATATTAAAAAAAATCAAAGAGTCAAGGAAGAATCTTTTGTCCATAACAAAGTTCCATTAAAAAGACCAAGAGTCTTTGTACAATTTTTGTCATCTCTTATGTCTGGATAGAGTGAAACCTTAATAACATAGTATCACTTTAATGTGGAATCCTTTGCACAAGTATTCTGTTAACTTTCTTCAGGTACTGACTATCCTGAAGTGCAGCAGTTATTTGCCTGTTTCTCTGTGGTAAGGTGCATATGCTATGCATTTTAGAAATAAGCAGAAAGGAAGATACTGTAATTTTGGAAATGGTCTGATAGCACAGAGCATCATAGAATAGTTTTACCATTGAAGGCAATTAATTCCTTGTTAATGTTTATGGTGTTATCTGCCTTAAAAATTGATTAAAATATTTTTGATGTAAGATTTGCAATAACTAGAGCTAATGTAATATTTTATAATGCACAGAACTACAAGATGCAAAGAATCATGTTCTTTCAGGAACAGACAATAAGAAACATACATCCAAGAAAAAAAATTTCATAGAAACATGGATGAAATCTGACAATTTTATGATTAAATGAATAATGAATAAAATAATTTAATAGAAAATAGGTAGGAGAGTTCAGGCTTTCATTACAGTGCCAAATCTAACAAAATATTTCTATGTTTAATAATTTCTAATTGAAAAACAAGGCAGATTTTTTAGGGGTGTTTTTCATTTTTTACTATATAATTGAACTAAGTAAATCTTTCTAAATTCAGAACATAGAAGAATAATACCACTCCACTCAGTAAATTCTGTCCTTCTAGGTCCTAAGCAGAAATATAAACTCAGTGAACAGAAAGTAATTAATAAATGCTAATGTAGTGCCCAACTTCTAGACAGAATTGTTTCTTTGTTCTTAATTTCATTTGAGTTTCAAAGATTTCAAATTTAGTCACAAAAGCTCACAAATATCTACACATGTATACTCCCCTTTCTCAGTACTGGCACACCCCAAGTACTCTCGAAAAATACTGCATATATGCACCTATGTAACAAATTGTCTTACAAAAAGCCTATACTGTTTATTCTGAAATTCATCATGATCACAAATAGAAAGATAATAGTGGATTTCTAACACTAAATTACTGAGCTGCTCTTGCCCAAGTTCTGCACTTGCTTATCAACTGATGACTCATGCAGTCAGTCCTATTTAATTACTGTCTTTGCAGAAGAATGCTAGGGATTCATGAATTTAAAAGTTGTGAAAATGTGCAGATTCTTTTAATTATAGTTACCAATGCTCTGGAAAAAGTGCACATGACATAAAATACATTTAGGAATACCACCACCTTTCTTTTACATCATTTTGAAGCATAACAGGGAACATCCTTTTGGTGAGAAAAAAGTACACTGCTAATTTCTGGCAAGTGCTTTTAGGCAATAAGGATGTCCATTGCCCAGATATTATCTAATTCTTTCAAATGATTTGAAGAAAGATTTTATACTTTTAATATGTAGGTAACTTTTCCCTTTAAAATCTCTAATGTCTTCAGTTCAAATATTAAACCAAACATCAATTCTCAGTATTAGGAATGACTATATCAATATAGCAATTATTTAGCACAATGTTTCTTCAGTTTATGAATGTCTCCTTGATTATACACATTTTAAAAATTTCAAGTTTGCCTTATGAAAAATAATGAAATACCACAGAGTTTTATAAGAAACTTGTAAAGGAAAATGAAAGTCATAATTGAATACAAACAACCAATTACCTGGTTTAGGAGATCTTCTACTTTCTTCTGCCATGAATCCCTGGCTGCATTTTTCTCTCTCTCTTTTAACTGCAAAAGTTGAGACATTGCTGACTTCTTATCCTCTTCATGTTGAAGCCTCAACTCTTCATGAAGCTTAGAACACTCTTGTCTAAAATAAAATGCATTTATAAAGATAGAGTATCTCTCAATGAATGTAGTACTGAAATAGTGCATGTAGCTTCAGGCTTTCTGTATTTAATCAATCCTCCTTTATAAGCCAACTCAGAATAATGGTTGATTATTTTATAGTTCAGCACTATAAAGTATGCTAGTAACTCACCCAAGGTCATTGACTTATCACTGCAAAATAGGTATTAGAAAAAATAAGTCTTCCAACTTCAGGATAGTACTCTATTTTATATTCAAGGAAATGAAATCAGAAAAAAGTAACCTGTATTTAAACATTAAAATTCCTGCTTTTCTACTACATCTAATGATGGGAATATTTATTTAAAATTCTATTGCTATATCTTTAACAATAACATAATATATGCCACAGAATGGAACAACTGTGTAGGTTGTTTGTACATTTGTGTGGGTTATATTACAAAGTGAAAAATGTACCTAAGATTTTCTGTCCATTTTCTTTCTAAGTCATGGGCCATTTTGTCCACTCTGAGTTTCTCCTCCTCCTTCATGGCAGCAAGTGTTTCTTCATGCTGCTGCCTTTCTTGTTCCAGCTCACCCTGCAGAAAAAGTGCTTTTCACTGAAGTCTATAGTCTTCAAAAACAAAGTCACTGCTAGTTATTTCAAATAAGCAGAGTGTTTATAACACAATATTACAGTACAATAATTGGCAGTGCCACTATGATGATTATTCAAGACTTTCTGACAATAAATCACATGGTACACATTTTACGTTTTAAATATCCTTGTGCAAACTATATTTTATTAAGGCTTATAACTTCACAAATTATTTTAAATTTTTTAAGTCAGCATAATTATAACTTAACTTTCCATATTATGGGAATCTAACAATTCTTCAATTATTTTCACTTGTACACTCATTATACATAGAGAGATATTATTCATATTTATTCCTATTCATGTTTAAAAGTATGCTTTTTATTCAAAGATTAAGCATTGTAGCTTTACCCCACTGACATGATTAAAATAATTATGAGAAAGTTAGGCTACTATCTGTATAAACTAACTTTAAACTATTGGTCCATTTTGTAATGGTACTATGATATATAGATACATGAAATCCCTGTAGATTGGCATAAATCAAATGACTCCTTAGAGCCTGAGGCTGGAGGTGACTTGTTTGGATAGCAATGTCAACCACTGGTCCCTAGCAGCAATGAAGCTGCTCTTAGGGTACAAGAGAAGAATGGATGGATCACTCCTTTGCTAAAGCATTTGTTGTAGGAGCTATTGAAGGGTATATCCAGATTAAAAGGAAGGAAGCAAATCAATGTTGAAATTGCCATTCTACATTGTTGGCCTGGCTATTAAGCAGTAAGTACTGAAAAGTGAATTCAGGAGTAAGTACTGAAAAGTGAATTCAGCAGTAAGTTCTGAAAAGTGAATTCTGTCATTTTAGTCAAGTGTCCCTTTCAAAAGTATTCAGCTGTGAGGAACTCTTTTTCTTTCCCCCACTATACGCAGCATCAAATGGAATACAATTACTTAAAAAAGTATTTCTTATACTGAACATGAAACACTTTATTTGACATTATTGGGAGGGAAAAGAGTTAAAGAAAACACTTGATTTTATGCAGCTTACCAGAGTTGTGTAAACCATGGAATATCAATATTTTCTTAATTAAAATTGTCCGGCAGAACAGGGTTTTGAAACTGAATCCATAAGACTGATTCTCACTGCCAGTATACCCAGTACAAGCTTAAAAAGGCAACCAGTACAAAATGCCCTGAAGGCGGAATTGGGTGTGCACCATAAGCCAGGAACTTGTAGCCACCATGACACCTGATCAACAGTCTGTATTCTACCATGTTAGAAATATTTCAACTATTTTAAAAATCACCTTCTTATTATTCTTGACACTAGGTTAAAAAATCTTAACACAGTTTCACTCATATATTTTAACTTTATGCCAAAAATTCTACGTTGAAGTTATAGCCAATATGTTTGGTATCACAGAAATTAAATATGTCAAGTTGTATATTATAATAGCTCTAAATTCTAACATATTCCTAGTTAAATATTTTTTAAATATTTTATTTATTTACGCATACAAGAACTGGGGTACAGGCCAGATGTGCAGGGGGAGTGAAAGGATTCACCAGAGACAGAGTGGGAAGCAGAGCAGGTAGATTGAAATACACCACTGAGGGAGCAGCAGGGAGACAGAAGAGGTCTGCCATGTGGGTCACTTCCCTGGCTGGGGATTGAACTGGTGTTGCAGTGGCTGTGGATTGCTTTATAGTGCAGAGTCTTAACCCCCTGCACCAGCAGGGAGGCCCTATTCCTAGTTAAATATTAACACTATCATGTTACATAGCCATTAGAGACAGATAAACAGAAAGTTTCAAGAATGAAATAATCTTTTTATTTTGCCACAGAATTTTAAATAGAATGTAGTTAGTATTCAAAGTACAAAGTATAATTATTTTTATATGCAATGTAGAGAATTAAACATACACTATTCTAAAGGTACATCCATTAAAGTGCCCTTATTTACATGTTTTTGAAATGTTACCAATTATAAATTTTAAAAAAAATTTGAAATAATAATAAACAGTAATGTTTACCTAGTACTTATTTTGCTAAGCACTGTGCTATAAATGGTATCCCTTATTTGTTACAACAGTGGTATAAATTATGCTGTTATTCCCTACCCCACTTGCAACATACATATGAGAAAATCAAGGCATAGAATAAAGTGCCACAGTGATAGGTCCAGAATTCATAGCCAATCAATTCAGAGTCCACATTTTAAATATCACTACTCTTAAAGAAAATGTAAGATTCCTTGGTAACTATTTTTATAGTTGTATAGATTCTCTTTTCTACTTTCTAAGGCAATCTATAAAAATCTATTTACTGTTTGATGAGACTGGAAAGAAGGAATCTCCCTGAAACATGTAGGTTACAAACAACCACTTAGTCAGAGTTTGAACTCTGACCAGTAAAATAATTGTGCATAGTAATTGCTATGGGCTGAAAGATATGTGGATGTACTAACACCAGCCCTCCTTCACCCACAGTATGTCAGAATGCAACCTTATTTGGAATTTGGGTCAGTGCAGATGTAATTAGTTAAGATGAGGCCATACTGGAGAAGTTATACTTAATATGGCTAGTATTCCTGTTAAAGATGTGAGGAAACAGGAAGAAATACATATAAAAACAGGAAAATACTGAAGTTATGCAGCCAATGGCCAAGGAATTCCAGGGTTCCCCAGAAACTGCAAAAAGCAAGGAGGGATCCTCCCTTAGAAATTTTCAAGGGAGAATAGTCCCAATAACACCTTGATTTTAAGCTTCCAGTCTGCAGAACTATAAAATAATAAATTTCTGTTATTTTGTGTTACAGCAGACCTAGGAAACGAATACACTAATTACAAACAATGCAATGTTTACAGTATAAACTTTGTAAGTAAAGGAATTAAATTGTATTTTTACCTTGTTGATGTTTAGATTATAGCAGATTATTATATTACCTCAACATTTAATAAAGCATCCTTAGTATCCTTCAGCCTGCCTTTAGTCAAGTCCAGCTCATTTTGAAGTCTTTCTTGAGAGTCCTGAAGACTAGCAATGAGTCCCTCTGCAGAGCCAAGACCTTGTTCACTTTTCCTTACCAGGTCTTGGAGACGACCAATCTGCAAACAAATGGAATATTTTTTTTACAAAGATTTATTTATTTATGCATACAAGAGCTGGGGTACAGGCCAGAGATGCAGGGGGTGAGAGGATTCAGCAGAGACAGAGCGGGGAATGGAACAGAATAGACTGACTGAAACACACTGATGAGGGGAGCTAGACAGGAGAGGTCTGCTTTGCATGTGGGTTGCAGGCCAGGGCTGTGAATTGCTTCACAGTGGGGTGCTTAACCCCTTAACAGAATATTTTAATACACCTCCTAGTAATGGATTAGCAAAAGAATAAAATTAGTTATCTTAAAATTCTTTTTTTTCTTATAGTTTTACTAAATAGATCTTTCTTGATAATGTAAAGGAAACACAAATAATCATGACAAACTTAACTGTTTTTTTGAAAAGACCAAAAAGATCCTTTTTCATGACAACCACAAGGCCTCCAAGGCACAGTCCAACTCTAGTGATTTCCTTTTTTGATCTTCACAGTCATTGACACAAAGAGTGCCACTGTGGTTAAGAATTGAGTTATTACCCCCTAGATTGGAATTTTGTTATTACCCACTTACTATGTGACTTGGGCAAGTCACAGGACTTTTTTGTGACTTAGTAACTAGCATTTACTGTATAGGGTTATTGTGAGAAATAAAGGAATGAACAGTATATAAAGGAAAGACTATAAAACAATGCCTGGGGTTTAAGAACTAAATAAATATCAAGTATAGCTGCTATCATTCTCCACCTCTATTGGCATCCCTCTAATTCCTAGAAATACTCATGCCTCAGACCACTGCATAAATTTTTTAGTTAATTCTTCTGGCAAATCACTTATCACCATTGAGCAATATGGCTCAGACTTATAATTATTTGTTTCCTTATCTATTTCTCCATGATAGAAGGAATCATATCACACTTATTCACCACCATAACCATAACGCCTAACACAGTGCTTTGGTACTTAACAGTTGTTCATTATTTATTGAACAAGTCAATAGGAGAAAAATCTTTGCTATTACTAGCACTACCTCTAATCTGTAGGCATTTAACTCCTGAAAGGAACATCCATGCCTTCACTTTTTTGACCTGTTGTGTATCAGGCAAGGTCATATTACACTTCTAAGCAGAAAAAGGCAGTCACCTTCTCCTCTAGAAGCAGTTCAGAACATGAACAGAAGCACAAGATCTGCTTCTGTGTGAAATGGAAAAAGAATCCTCTTCCTCTAGGCAGAATTCTCTGGAAATCTAGGTTTCTAAATGTCTTCTACTGTAAACAGTGCTGACATTTTGTCAATGATCCTTAATTATTTGCTTAGGTAAAATATACAGAAATGTACAAGTTCAAGTACATGCCCATCATTAAGACTTTCATACCTATTGCTAAATTTCTTTCTGGGAAAAATATGTGATTTTATATTACCATCAGTAACTTTTGAGTGCTTTTTTTTTCTTTCTTAACACTCCAAAGTCTCAATTTTTTTATTACTACTAATTTATGGTAATGGAAATGGCATTTCATTGATTTCATTTCCAGTTTTTAAATTACAGTGATGTGCAAATTGTTTTTCACGTTCTTTAAGCCATTAAAAAATTAGGGTATCTGCAAGGACATTTATAAATGTCCTTGAGGTATAAAAAGACATGGATTTTTGTTACTCATACAATTTTAAAATCACTTACTCCATGTTTCCTAGTTTTTCCTCCCTCATAATTTTACTTATGGTGTATTTTGATATATAGAAGTTTTGACTGTACATATATTAGGGTTTTTAATTCATTTTGTCATCCATTTTCAAAAGACCTTCTTGCTCCTACAGCTTGTCATCTGTATTTTCATATTTTATTTAAATTCATATTATGATTTGATATTACATTTCAATCCTTAGCCCATTTGGAACTTTTTTTGATATAAGGTTAAAGAAGAAACTTAACTTGATTTATCTCTCCTCTTTCATTTAGATAGCCTTTAAAGAGCAGTGTCATCTACCATTATTCAGATGAAATCTATTAATTGCCTTTTATCCTACTTCTCTACTGAAATTTTCCCCAGAGAACTTTTGATCACATAATCTTTTCAAGTCTCATACTCTGACTTTGAATCACTGTGTGCACTGTGCTACATGTACTCTTGTATTTGTTTTGATGGTTTTCTGATGTTCATTAATCCTTGTTCTCAAACTCCTGATTTCTCTTCCTCAATCTCTTTGCCTACCTCAATTAATTCCATATTGGTGCTTTTCTTTATTACCAGCTTTATTCTCATTAGGTACTTTTGGGTGAGCTCTTTGACTAAAATGCCTTCAAGGATTGCCTGATCATTAGCTCCAAGCCTGAACTTTCTACTTCGTTCCAGTGGAGATGTCTTATAAAAATCCCTGAGTTAGCCTATTAAAATAATTCAATGTTTGCCATTACGGAGTATTTTTTTCTCCTTTCTACCTTCAAATAGTGGCATCACTATCTCTTCAACTACCTAAACTAGATACTGGACTCACTTTCTACTACTCATCACATCAAGTCCCATGAATTTTTGTTTTTTAATAATCCTCTCTACTTCCTGTTTTACTTTCCTAGTCAGGATAAAATAATTTCTTGCTTGGACAAATGCAATAGCATCTTAAGTCATCTATCAACTCTAATCACCAAATTGCTCCCCACACAATTCATCTTCTTATTGCTATTGGAGGTCTTTTTCTGGAGGTCTTTTTCTAAGATCATCTAAGAGTGTGGTGGCTTTGTTACTACCACTCCACCATAAGAATATAATCCAGTCTATGTTACAGCACAGGAATCCCTCATAATTTTAGCTTCAAATATGCCTTCTACTGTACTTCTTCACAAGTCCCACATCTATTCTATGGTCAAGTGCAACAGTTCTCAACCAGGGTTAATTTTGTCCTGAGAGAGTATTTGGCAGTATCTGGAAATATTTTTGGAAACTAGAAATGGAGAAGGGATGGTCCACACTACTATTATCTAGTGTGTAGCGTACAGGGATATTCTAACCATTCTAGAGAATTATCTGGCCCCAAACTGCCAATAGTTCTGAGTGTAGACATTGGCATAGCAACAGTGAACTTTCATGGCTCACCGAGATATTGAAGCCTTACACCAATAAGAAGACATTGAAGTTATTCCTCATACCCATGTTCCTTTTTTCATCATTCTGTATCTGGCAAATTTATACCCACCTTTCAAAGACCATCTCCCATTTTTTAATTCTCCAATTACTTTCTCCAGTGCTTTTATGAACTGGAGAATCACTTTCTCCTCTGAACTCTATATATTGTATTTATCACCAAGTCATAACAGCCACTTTTGACTGTAAGTTCCTTAACATTTTGTTGAAGTATCTCTAGCACCTAAAAGTTATGCAATCAATAAATGTTTCCTAAATTATAAAAACATGCAAATATAACTGATGTTGCTGGAATCTAGTTCTAATTTTTCAGGAGACCAAGCTAGTAATAAGTAATGAGAGCTATAAAATTACTCCTATTCAGGAATTTCAGTTATAGCAAGAGCAACAAAAAAAAGGAAATTTCTTTTAATGAATGAAAGTATTTACAGACCTGATAACTATCCTCTTGATAGTAATAACTAGATCTAATAAACAGGATTGATCAGGCTTCTTTAAAACCCCTGGCTCCCTTACAGTGAGGGAGCAAATGGCTGAAATATGCTTTTGGTTGATTTAGGATACTGAATGGACCTTAAAAAGAAAATCATGCTAGTCTAGTCAGCATCTTCTATGACAATCCCCACCCCTCAAATAAGAAGAGACAATGCCTCAAAATTCATTCAGCAAATATTTTCATTCACAAATATTGATATTTACTGATCTATCTGTTAGGCAGTGTGTATTCTATAATATCTCATAATAAAAAATCCAAATGATTTTCATTTTAACAAAATAAAGAACTATACAAGTGCTTTAAAAACTTAGGTCCAGCGCCTCCCCTGGTGGCACAGCAGTTGAGCGCTGGGCTGCCAAGCTGCCCACAGCCTCTGCGGCGCCGGTTAGATCCCTGGCTGCTCCCCGGCCACCGGAGGAAAGTCCCACATGGCGCGCAGACCTCTCCTGCCACCCCCTGCTCCCCTCAGCAGTGTATTTCGTCACTCTGCCTGTTCTGTTCCCCGCTCTGGCTCTGGTGAATTCTCTCACCCTCCCGCGCTTCTGACTGTACCAGTGCTTGTATAAATAAATAAATTAATTCAAAAAAAAAAAAAACAGGTCCAGAAGAAAATTCGCAACTTAAATGCCATAAAAATATTTAAAAATACCATAATGGTAAGATTATCTGTTTGGCCTAATACTTTATCATCCAAGATGAATCCAAATAACATTTCATAGGAAAATATGGTTATTTGCCACCTGACATTTTATGATCACTAGCTTCTCTTTATGTCCTATTATGATTCTGGCATTCATTAATTTATGACCCAAATTCATAGTTTAGCTATTTGTTTTTAGGGTGTCATTTGTAAGGGTATTGAGATTCATCACTATATGAAGACAGTACACTTCAAAATTTTTCTAAAACAACTGCTTTCAGTCTTTATTAAGTACTCCCTATTTCTTTCTTTCTGCCTTTCCTTAGATAGCTCTTAGCAGCCAATAAATGTAAATGGAATAAATTTTCTATTTAAAATTTAAGGCAAAAACATACAACTAGAGGGCCTCCCTTGGTGGTACAGCAATTGAGCGCTGGGCTGCAAAGCTGCCTGCGGCCTCTGCAGCACCAGTTTGATCCCTGGCTGCCAGCGAGGGTCCCACATGACGTGCAGACCTCTCCTGCTGCGCCTGCTGCTCCCCTCAGCAGTGTATTTCATCAGTCTGCCTGTTCTGTTCCCTGCTCTGGCTCTGGTGAATTCTCTCACCCTCCCGCGCTTCTGACTGTACCCAGTGCTTGTATAAATAAATAAATAAATCTTTAAAAAAAAAAAAAAAAAAAGACAAGCACAGATTGAAAGTGTAAAGCTGGAAAACAATCTTATAAGCAAATGGACCAAAAAAGAAGGCAGTAACAGCTATACCTATATCAGGTAAATTGGACTTCAAAATAAAAAAAGTAAAAAGAGACATAGACGGTCACTATGTAAAGATTAACCCCTTAATCTAAGGAGATCAATATATCAGGAAGACATAACACTCATCAACATATACTCCCCAAATGCAGGAGCACCAAAATATATCAGACAATTATTATCAGCCCCGAAAAGGACAATAGAGAAAATACATATGTAGTAGGAGGCTTTATCACCCCTCTCTCACCAATGGACAGATCAATGAGACAAAATATAAGCAAGGACTCTAGAGCTCCAAAAAAGGACCTAGACCTCATGGGCTTAACAGACACCTATAGGACACTTACCCCAAAAAATCTGAGTACACATTTCCCTCAAGTGCACACAGGTCATACTTTAGGATTGATCACATATTGGGTCACAAGACAAATCTCAACAGATACATTAAGATCAAAATCATACCAATTACCTTCTCTGATCATAAAGGCATTAAACTAGAAATAAACCATGAAAAGAAAGAAGGAACCCTCCTACTTCATGGAGATTGAAACCCACAATACTGGAAGACCACTGGATTAATAAGGAGATCAAAGAAGAAATAAAAAAAAAATCTAGAGATGAACAACAATGAGAACACAACTTTTCAGAATATATGGGACACAGCAAAAGCAGTAATAAGAGGAAAGTACATAGCAACAGAGGCTCACATCAAGAAACAAGAAAGAGGGCTTCCCTGGTGGTGCAAGGGGTTAAGATACAACCTATGAAGATGTCTGCAGCCTCTGCAGCATGAATTTGATCCCCAGCCAGCCAGGGAGCTACCCACATGGCGCAGCAGACCTCTCCTGGCTTGCCCACTGCTCCCCTCAGCAGTGTATTTCAGTCAATCTGCCTGTTCTGTTCCCCACTCTGTCTCTGGTGAATCCTCTCATCCCTCACACCACTGTACCCCAGCTCCTGTATGCATAAAATAAATCTTTAAAAAAAAAAAGAAACAAGAACTCAAACAACCTAATCTCCCATCTCAAATAACTAGAAATAGAACAACACAAAAAGCAGTATAAGAAAGGAAATAATAAAAAATACCTCAATGTAAGACCTGAAATCATAAAATATATAGAAGAAAACATAGGCAAAACACTATACGGCATACATCTCAGTAACATCTTTAAAGACACATCCCCCAAAGCAGAAAGTGAAAGAAAAGATAAACAACTGGGATTACATCAAACTAAAAAGCTTCTGTACAGCAAAAGAGAAACTAACCGAAACAAAGAGACACCCTACTGATTGGGAGAAAAATTTTGCACACAATACAACTGATAAGGGACTGATCACAAAAATATACAAAGAGCTCACACAATTCAACAAAAACAAAAGCAACCAATCCAGTCAAAAAAGGGACAGAAGAGCTAAAAAGACACTTCTCCAAAGAGGAAATGCAAATGGCCAACAGGCATATGAAAAAATGTTCAACATTACTTATAATCAGGGAAATGCGAATCAAAACTACAATGGATACCACCTTATACCAGTGAAAATGGCACACATTAAAAAAGCAGGCAACAGCAAATGTTGGCAATGACATGGAGAAAAAGGAACTCTCTTACACTGCTGGTGAGAATGCAAACTGGTCTGACCACTATGGAAACTTGTATAGAGGTTCCTCAAACTACTAAAAATGGAGCTACCATATGACTCAGCAATTCCACTCCTAGGACTCTACCCAGAGGACACCAAAACATTAATTCAAAAAGATAACTGCACCCCTATGTTTACTGCAGCACTATTTACAATAGGTAAGATAGGAAACAACCCAAATGTCTAAAAATAGATGACTGGATCAAGAAAATTTGGTGTATATATACACAATGGAGTATTATTCAGCAATTCAAAAAGATAAACTCATGCCATTCACAGCAACATGGACAGAGCTACAAGGGATCATGCTCAGTGAAATAAGACAGAAGTAAAAAGAAAAATATTAAATGGTTTCACTTATAGGAGAAATATAGGGGAACCAAATATGGGATCGGGGAAAAAAAACCATTAAAAAAACAACAAAACTAGCAGGCAACCATAAATAAGAGACATTCTACAAGGAAGGGGAGGAAAAGGGATCAAAACAGGGGAGAGAAGAGCACAAGGGACTATGGTAATGGTTCACGGGTGAATTGGTGGTGGGAATTTTACAGGGAATACACAATGATGTAAAAGATATAAATTTAAAAAAAAATTTAAAAAAGGATTTCAATCTCATGCAACTCTTCCAGAGAACAAAAGTGAGTAAATCCTATTTCACTTTATGATAATAGTATAACCGTGATTCTAAAACCAGAAAAGATAGTAAAAAAATGAAAAGTACAAAGCAATCTTACTGAACCTACTGGGCTCAAAAATCCTAAATGATTACTAATAAACTGGATCTTTTATTATATTAAGAAGATACATATGTGTGTGTATGTATATATACCATGTGTACATGATATGACCTATCATGACTAACTTGGGCTTATTCTGGAAATCCAGAGTTAATTTAATATTAGAAGATTACCTGAAGGTATTACCACATTAACAAATTAAAGGTGAAAAAGTATGACCTCAAAAGGTACAGAAAAATCAACATCAATTTGTGATTTTTTTTTTTAGTAGTTTTTTTTTTTTTTAATTTTATAGAGGCATGTTTATTTATTTATTTATTTATTTATTTATTTATTTATTTATTTATTTATTTGCTTGTTTTGTTTATACATGCACTGGGTACAGTCAGAAGCGCGGGAGGGTGAGAGAATTCACCAGAGCCAGAGCAGGGAGCAGAGCAGGCAGAAGGACCGAAGTACACTGCTGAGGGGAGCAGCGGGCCGCAGGAGAGGTCTGCGCGCCATGTGGGACCCTCCTCTGCCCTCCTCTGGTGGCTGGGGAGCAGCCGGGGATCGAACCGGTGCCGCAGAAGCTGCGGGCAGGTTCGCAACCCAGCGCTCAACCGCTGCACCACCGGGGAGGCCCAATTTGTGATTTTTTAAATTAAAAAACTAGAATTACAAGAGAACTTCCCAAACATGGTAAGAGAATTTAAAAAATAAAACTTTCAAAAACATAATTATATGTGAAATGTTGACATTCTTCACTTTAAGAGCAAGGACAAATTAAGAATGCTTATTATCTCTGGAGAGCTTGGCCTAGTCAGCGAAGTAGGACAAGAAAAAGATGCCCCAGGCTGAAGGAAAGGCAGGTGTATTGGGAGGAGGAGCCAAGCAGATTCCTGGGGAGCCATTCTAATGAGACCCCAAAATATCATCAGTGTGCTAAAACACATCTAAAAATGTATCCAGAAGGAAAAACAATTTATTAGAATTCTTCTTGGTGAGATTATAATATGCAGATTGAAAAAAACACTTACACCATTTGGAGCTGAGCATAGTATCCTGGAGACCTGCACAAAGAACACTTCTCAGGAGAGTGAGACACTGTAAATACAAAAATCCTGCTCTGCCAAGAAAGGCATGCAGACTTGGAGCCTACAGTTGATTATCTCGGACAATAGAAAAGAGGCTGAGCTAAAAATACCAATAACAATCTTAATTCTCTATCAGTCCCAAATGCAGTGCTCAGTACCTTCTCTGGATAAATGTTTAAAGATAATGAAAGGACACTGAGTGCAAATTTTAGCATGTTTTGTGTGTGGTTTCTGTGAGCAAAAGTACAGTGATGAGAAAGCAGGATTTAAAAACTTTTGGGAAAAATGAGACTAATGAGGTAGAAACAGCAGACAAGACAAGAAGTGCCAAGCCAAGTACGGGTTTTAGGAAGACCACTCTACAAGCCACACAAGGCAGGAACAGAAGGAAAACAGGGTAGTAGGCAAGCTATTCTAAGGCAAAAGAGAGAAAGAGATGAGACAAACAATAACATAGTTTGTAAACATGTCAACATAGGTGACAGGTCTAAAGAACTCTTACCTCTTGATTGGCTGTATTCAGCTTATCTTCCAGTTTCCCCTTCAGGCTTTCTAGCTCTTGATGAAGCTCATTTTTTTCCTCTTCTAGGTTTATTTTCTCTTTTTTATACTGTTCCTCCAATTCCTTAGGAAAAGAAATTTTTAAAAATTAACAAAACTTCAAATACTGTTTACTTCAAAGGTTCTAAGAAAAGACTATTTTGTATTTTGATGCTTTGCTTTGCAAGTTAGATTTACCCTTAATTAGTAATATCAGGATTAACTACTTAATCCTGGTGGCTTAGTTGCTATGATTCTGAAGCACTTATGATTTAGTAAAATAATTTTTTCAATGAGAATATTTGCTTATAGTCAAAAACCAGAAATATGTCATTTTATCATATGTCATTTATTTACTTGGTAAGTAAATACAAAATTTTAACTATCTTCTTGAATTCAGAATTCTTATACATAAACAAATATATTTATATTTATATTTTAAAAACCAAAGTCCAATAACATTTTTGGAACTCAATAGTGTAGCACTAGAATGCAGTCAAGAATTAACAAGCACAAAATGAGACTTTTGAAGAGCAATGTCAATAATATTCACACTGAAGAACTTTTATCTGCCAGGCATGCTACTTAACAGTTGGGTTAAGTATTAAGACCTAGTGACTTCCTTTAATAGGCTCATGGTATCAAGTAACTAATGAATATGTAACTGAAATTGCCATGCATAAGGAGCATAGGAGCATATGGATGGGGAAATGATTAAGTTCTAGTTTGGTGGGGAAACCTTCACAGAGATAACAATTGCTATGTAGTTTGAAAGATCGTATGAGTAAGGAAAGGTGGTGAAGTAAGAGGAAATACAACATTTTAGGTAGAGGAGAAGACATGAGCAAAAAACCTTAGAGGTACAAAATAGCATGTTATGCTACAAGTAGCTCAATATTTCTAAAGGGTAACATGAGAAGAATAAAGAATAGGGTTCTCTTTGGGGAGTCTCCAAGGCAAATTCCAGGTCTGATTGGTTGCTGGGATGACTCACAGGACTCCGAATATAGTTGTACTCCCAGAAGTGATTTATTAGAGAAAGGATACCAGGGCATAATCAGCAAAAGGAAAAGGTGCTTGGGCATTCTGCAGGAAAACAAGTGCAAGCTTCCAAGAGTCCTCTCATAGGATTCTCAACAAGTATGACAACACACACAAAACACTGTCCATCAGGAAAGCTCCCAAGAAACTCAGTGTCCATGTTTTTTATTGCGGGTCAGCCAGGTAGGCACCTGCTGACTAGTGTGTATCAAAATTCTAGACTCTGAGAAAGAAAGCAGATGTTTAGCACTGACCACACTGTTCAACTAAACAGTATAGGCGCAGAGAGCCATTTTTATTAGGGAAGGGTGGGAACCTTCATGAAATTCACATTTCCACTACTAGCTGAGGACTAACTTGGCAACATAGTTTTACACCTGCTATGTTAACTCTTTATTGCATGGGTTCTCTATATATTCATTTTCAAATGGGGTGGCTGAACAAGCATCATTAAGGAAAATGTAATTCTTTTTGATAATGAAGTAAAAAGAAATGGAGAAGTCACCTTTAGCTAAATAATCTTTAAAAGATAATTTTTCATTGCAAGAAGATAATTCTGGAAGGAGGCTGGTTTTAACTTTGGCTCAGACATAAGTTAGCTAGGCAAGAAATAAGCGAAGCAAGTAATAAATAAGCTATTTTGAGAAAAGAGAAGCTTACATACAAAGTATCATAAGGGGTTTTGTCTATGTTCACACATAGGAGACGCGTGTCATCTGTCTATGGCAGAGAGATTGCAAGAAATTTAAGTAGCTTTCTTAAAGATTTTGAAATGGCTCATAAATTGAAATTTAATGAGTGGGGGAATGATTGGGAGTGAAATAATGAGACAAAAACGATACTGATGAAAGATGTCTTGACTCTAGCACTTAGAACGTACTGTAGAGGAATAAAGGGTGGCTAAAGGTGAGATACCTGCAACCTAAATATTTCAATAAGAGAGAAGGGTAAAATGAAAAGGGGATGCAGAAATAAAAAGTAGTAAGAAAAGACAACTATGGAAGATATTACTGAAACATCAGTTACCGCTAATACTTTGCTATAAAACCTTGAACATTTGATACATGCACATGCACCACCTACATAAACCTGCACAAACTGGTCCTGAGATAGTGAGGTGGCTTAGAAAGAACAACCATCACAATCTTGAGAAACACCATGTCATGAAGGTTTGTTTCTTGCTACATAAACATATAATGGTATGCTTAAATAGAAGTAATAGTCTAACAGGAAGTTTTATTTGAATTTTCAATTAAGTTAGATTGGGTGTTGAGTACATGTTCCCCAACTAGTTGTGTAATGAAAGGAAAGGACATAAAGGTAGAAGATCTCAATTCACATCACTTCTTTTTACTAAGTCTGCACCTCTGAGAAAATCAGGTTAAACTTATATCACCAGCTATGTATTAAAAATGACATTCCAAAAAAAAAAATAAAAATGACATTTATCTCCAAGTCAGAAGAAATAAGAATTTTATATAAAAAAGTATTTAGTAAACTATAAAGCACAATTATATGAAACAACCATCATTAATGCATGCCCACATGATGTGATGTTTAAGTACTTTAGGGTTTGTTTACTCTCTCTGTGACTTCATCTCCTCTTTAGTAAAATGGGTTCAGAAAACAAACCTGTACTAGTGATGTAAGGATTAAAAGTAAAAATAAACTAAAACATCACTGCAGTGTCTGGCATTGATTAAGAAATACTAATAATTCACAATTCTTTATCAATATATGCTAGGACTTGCCTGGGGTCTTAGTACTTCATCTCACTTAATCTTCACAGGAACATCACAAGGTAAATCTTACCTTCATCTATCAGATGAAGAGCCTGAGGCACAGATTTTACAACCAAGGTTAGGCAGCTAGTAAACAAAGAGCTCAGCACAAGGACAAGGTCCAGATCTGTCAGACACTATTATGCATGACAGGTTATCATGAATTACTATTAGCAAATTGATTACTTAAGGAAAACAAAACAAGTCACTTTCTCAGGGAAGGAAACTGTTTAGAGGACAGAAAGTGCTTCAACAAGTTGAGGCTTCCTAAGGAGCCCACCTATGTTGTCTCATGAAAAGACAGCTCACGATCAAGGGAGTGTTTCCACTAGGCTTACACAAAGTGAAAATGTCTCATATACCATTGTAACAAACGACATTCCATACCAAGAGATATATGTATGGGACTGTGAATGATGATTTACGAAGTGATTATAAGATAGCAGCCATTAAAATGAAGCAATTCAATACCCTATACTATAGGACACACTGGATCATTACAGAAACTCTACCAAACTCACTGCAAGGCTAAGCTGAATTTTTACTCACCATTTGCAATTTTTTCTTATCCTTTAATGCATTACTATGGACAGCTTCAATTGCCATATGGTGCTTCCAGGCTAATTCTTCCAGAGTCTTAGAATGCGCTTCATTTAATTGAGCCACCTCCCCTTCCAATCTGTTTTGCAGATTTTTAAGCTCCATTTCATAATATTCTTGCTGAGTTTTCTTTGCTTCATTTACTTTCTAGAATAAAAACAAAGTTCAATAATTGGCACCTGCTTTTTTCATTCCTGTTAACAGTATTTTGAATATGCAGTAAACATGTAAAATTGAATGAACTTAGTGCTACGGATTTAGACTATGGAACATGAGAATACATCATTGGTGTTCCTAGAAAATGACATAGTGGCACAGGCAAAATGAATAATTTTAAAGCAAGTGATAAATTAAGACTATTATTAGGTTAGAACCAAATTGGCACATCTGCAAGCTGAAGAAAGACTTCATGTATGTCAAAGTTGTACACAAAATGGCCTGTCATTTACCCACTCAGTATTGTTCAATACAAACTTATTGAGTGCCAATTATATGCCTTTGAAGCATTCAGAGTATAATGATTAAAAAAAAAGCCAAAGACAGTGGCTACAACTGATTAGTCCTATGAAAGGAATTCATACCACATGCTGTAACAGTATATAGTAAAGGCGTCTAACCTGGATGAATTAGGAAGCTGTGTGTGTGTGTGTGTGTGTGTGTGTGTGTGTGTGTGTGAGAGAGTGTGTGTGTGTCTGTGTTTGTATGTAAAAGAGGGAGAGATCAAGGATGGATTTCCAAGGGAAAAAAAAAATCTGAGCCAGAGCTGAACAAAATACATTCTCTCATAATTCTCAGAATAAGTCCATTAGGAAACTAGAGATGAGAAAATTTCAAGCCTGGATCTGACAGCAAAAGCCTGCATTCGTAACCATTTCCATTTATTCTGAAAGATGAAACATAGTTAACCAGGTGGCAAAGTTTAGGGAGATGGGAAATCCACGCAGCTAAGCAGTATGGACTAGAACATAGACTATCAGGCTAGGAGTGGCAAGGGATGAGTCTGAGAGTAGGCAGCAGTCAAATGATGGGAAGTGTCATTTATTCTGAGGACTTTGAATTTTATTCTGACAGGAATGAGAAATCACTGATTTAAGAAATTGATTTTTAAAAAATTTATCTTGGCAGGAAGCTAGCAAGCTGGCTGAATGCGGGAAGAATGGTTAGAAGGTATAACTGAAATCCAGGCTAGAAATGCCAGGGACCTCAACCTAGATCTGTGAATGAATGTGCAGAAGAGAGGATGGAATAAAAATAAATTAAGGGAGTTGAACCAGTAGTACATGGTGACAGAAAATGTGTTAGGGAAATGGTAATCAAGAAAGACTCCTAGATTTACCTAGATTTACTAAACCAATTTGACTGAAGGGATATTGTAGAAGAAAGAAACTAAAGAAATACAGTACTTTTGTGAGGAGCAAGTTCTAGACATGTCGATTTGACACATGTGAAAAACAGAGATATCTAGTGGAAGTTAGATATGTAGGACTCAAGTTAGGGGAAAAGATGTGTCCTAAACTGACAGATTTTGGAGCTATCACTGAACAAGTGACAAGTGATGTCAGTGACATGGAATGAGATGAAATGCTGGGGGGACATCAATGGTAAGAGAGCAGTGGAAGGGGAACAAGACCATGAACAAGACTGCAAGGCCAGGGAGATAGAAGGAAAACATGAGAGAATGTGAAATACCAAAAGAAAACGGTAAAAGTCAGAGAGGAGTAAGTACCACGGTAAGACAAGATCCACCAAGTCCAGCAACCAAGATGTCACTGGAGGCTGAGGCAAACGCAGATTCTGTGGAGTGGTGATAAGAGAAACTGGACTGCACCCGGGTAAGGAGTGAATGGGAGGTGAGCAAGGGGCAAGGAGAACAGACATTTTTCAACATGGTTGGTTGTTGAGGGAAGGAGAAAGGGTGTCCAAAATTCCCACTTGGTATTGGAGATATCTGAAAAATTGGAATAAATATGCAGTAGTTATTCTACAAATAATATGTTGTATTTGTTTAATCTAGAAATTCAGAATGCTGGTATATGAATTTGCAGAGCAAGAGGCTTGTCATCCTTTTCAGTTTTGTAGAAATTTCCTAGGAATATATACAAATGTTTCATCAATAAAAAAAAACAAACATTATTAACCATAACTACACATTCCACTAAAATAAGTTTATTCCATTTTTGTCTTAAGATAGGGTGAAATGTTTTAAATTTCACATTATAAATTGTTATCAGCAAAATTTTGAACATATTCACAATGTGAGGTAGTCCAGCTTTATACCTTTTTTCAACATAAAAATAACTACTAGAATTAAGAAATACACTGTTACTGTGGAGTGAGAATAAGTACTTTATAATAAATCTGAAATAGACAATAATTGAACTTTCTCCCTTTTCTTTCATGAGGAGGGTAGGGGATGAAGAGAGGTCCTCCATTGCTTTTTACCTTCTCCAGTTCCAGAAGCTGCTGCTTCTGCTCTTCATCCAGACTCTGAGTTTTGCCTTGCAAAAAAGCTCTTTCTTCTTCAAGCTGAGATAATCTCTCATAGGCCCTTGATTTTTCTGATTCTAGATCTTTAATTGTAACCTCCTGGGTCATTTGAGTTGCTTGAAGCATTCCAATATGACCTACTCCCCCAAAAAGAAAATCCCTTCAATTTAAAATTTATTTGTGCTGTGGTATAAAACAGTGTATATTTAATGACACATTTGTACTTAATACCTAAGTAAAATAAATGATCTTTCTTTGGTTTCCTCACTGTGTAAAAGGGAACTATTTACCATGGGAGTATTTATTACCCAAGTAGAATAATTTAACTTAGAAAGAAGTCTTTTTCACATCATTGATATTGCTCCCTACACCCACTGTCATTCTTTCTTCTTTTTTTAAAAAAAAGATTACAGCTATGCAAGTTGAAGTAGCAGCACCTCTTTAGTCTTGTGGTAAAGAAATTGAGAGGATGGGCTGGCTAATACCATGGAATCAAAATGAATAATTTGTTCTTTTCTAATTGCTTTTTTCAATTCTAGTGTAAAGAGTAAAGAAATCGGAATGCAGGGAGCAAAGATGGCAGGCAGCAGTTCAGCTGAAGTTGAATTTATTTTAGACAAGAGACTTGATAAAGAACTAAGGCAGAGTAAGAGACAGATAAGGACAGTAAGGTTATAAAAAAAAAATAAAATTAGTGACAACAGCAAAAAAGGTGGGGGTGGAGGGAATGGGGAGAGAAACAGAGAGATGAAAAGTGCCTATAAGGCTAATATGTGGAATACAGAGAAGCCAAACTAAGGGTCAGGTAAAGACAAGCTCCAAAACTAACCCTTGGAAGCTGACTATAGAGCGGAAGCATCCAGAGGAGGCAGGATGGAGGGAGGGGTGAGAACAGAGGAGAGGCACCACGATGGACTATGGTGGTGGGCTGTGGGTGATCTGGTAGGAGACTGCAGTGGCCATAACTGAAAGGGTATCCAAATATCATCTCAATTGAAAATAAATCCATGCATACATAAAAGCATGTGAGAAAAAGGCCTTAGGAAGCATGCATTAGGGAAGTGATTCTCAACATGTTTGGCCCACCTGGGAACTCTAGTTGGAAAAGCAGCTCACCCCAGGCAGACCTAGTGAATCTGAACTCTGGGGCTGGGGCCCAGCTTCAGGGGTTGCACAAGTCCTGCAAGTGATTGTCATATATGCTAAAGTTGGAAACAACTATGCTAGGAGACAGGTAATCTGGAATTCACTGATGGGCCAATCAAATCAGATGATCTGCTCAAAGTGTGTGCTTTGCCTGGCATTAAATACCTGAGTCAAAAGTGACTTCAGAACTGACAGAGTTCACCCACCTCTTCTCATAAGGACTATGAAATGAGGAGGTCAGCCACATCAGAAAGAGCAATTTGGCTTTAGTACATGAAATGATACCCTTAGTAACAAGCCAAATGAAATGAGATGATGTATTAAATAGTTACAATATTCAAATACTTTAAAATGTATATTATTAACTACAAAGCCTCCTAGAGTGCTTCACTTTTCTTTTAAGTTAATGATTTATTGGTACTATAGTACCTGCTAATTCTTAATTTTTTCCGAAAAATAAGTTATCATTTGCTTATCTTATGATTACTATGATATCAGGGCCCTTGAATATATTTAGACCATAAATAATGTCACAATATGAGAAGAGAAGACTAATTTTGTCCTGAACTAACATTTAAGTGGTGATTACAGCTGAGGAATACACCAAGAACTATGGTCAGACATACTAGCTTTGACGACAAGATCTGAAGCTTGCTGTTGTAAACGCTCTCTGGCTGCTGCTAGCTCACTCTCCACTTCTTTGTGCTTGCTTAATAAGGCAATCTCTCCCTCTTTGGCATCATCAAGTTGTTTTTGAAGAACCTGAGAAAGATCAAATAGCATTTTTAATATATGAGTGATGCTAAGCTAAATAATTCATTTAAAATAGAAGCATCACTCATAGCAGGAATCTAGAAAACTTAAATAAGGGACCAGAAAAATGAATAATTATAAGAAAGCGAAAATCAAAATCAACAAAAAACTATGAACCAGAGACACTTTTTGGGGAGTGGGGGGGCGGGAGGGGAAGGATTGGGGTCAGAATGGGGTGTTTGCAATTGTATGGGGAATATAAAAATAAAATTTATTATTTAAAAAAAAAATCAACAAAAAACTATGAACCAGAGACACTTTTGGGGGGTGAGGGGCGGGAGGGGAGGGATTGGGGTCAGAATGGGGGGGTTGCAATTGTATGGGGAATATAAAAATAAAATTTATTATTTAAAAAAAAAAATAGAAGCATCAACTTCTAATTTATAAGTCACACTTAACAATACTTAATTGAAAATATGTATTGGTGATACATAACTTCTTATCTTCATAGATCATTTGACCCAACCATCAAAGACTATTCTACCCTTCCTGATCCATTCAAATGCTGTACAGATATTAAAATACAGCCAAGTTGTTTTCCATGCCAGTCTAACAAAACCTGGAAAGACTTTTGGCTTGTTTTCAGACTTGTGCCATATCCCTATTTAATTCAGATTTATAAAGCAATCTTAATTTTTTTGTTCAGTTCTGGGTATCAACTGATGCTCAGACCATTTTCTTTTCTCCCAAAGAAAAGAGACATGATTAAATTCTAGCACCAGTATTTTAACTCTCACATTACTTAAATAAAATCCTCTCTTAAACAATCATCAAAGTTCTAAACTTACCTTTTCTGGCCTTCATATATGAAATTCTAATAGAAAATAACAGCTACAGGATAATAAAAACCTCTGTCATATTTTTTCTCTCAAAAGAAATGTATGGAAAGCAAATGGGGGAAAATGTCTAATTGAAAAGAAAAAGAGAAAACTGGAAACCAACATCCATGTGTTGATCGTAACATTCTTAATTTACCTGAACACTGTTCTCTGCTGTTACAAGTGCCACCTGAAGCTTTTGGCATTTATCATGAAGACTTCCAGCTTCATCCTGGACCATCTGTAATTCTGTCTTTAATTTTCCTATGGTTTTTCGTAAAATTGCTTCTTGCCCCTGAAATTCTTTTCTAAGATCGGCTTCCTTTTCTTTACTAGCCTGTAGGCTTTCCGCTGTAAAAAGCTGTGATCTTTTCAAAGTATCAAGCTCATGTTCATAAAAGGACTGAGCTTTATTCAACTTGCCTTCATAGTCCTCAATTAGCTTTTTCCGTTCAACTTTTAGCTCTTCAAGTGTTTTGTTCAAGGCATCCACCTCCATTCTGTGGAGCTCCTCCGCCTTCTCCTGCCCCTTGTTGAGAGAGGCGCTGTGATCCTGCTGCGACTTCAACAGCTCTTGGATCTCCCTTCTGTGTGCATTTCGCAAATCGTCCAATGCCAACCGCTTGTCCTTTTCAAACTGTACTTGGAGTTGTCCAAAACTCTGCAATCTTTCCTCGAATTTCTTTCTAATTTCTTCAACCTCTCTAGACATGGTGACTATGCGTTGGACATGCTGGGCTTCTGCACAAAGCTGCATGTCCTCAACTCTGTGCTTATAAGCTTCAAATTCTGTCAATGCCTGCTGCTTCATTTTTATGTGATCTTCTAATGAGGCTTCTAAAACTTGAATCTTTCTCTTAAGGTCTAACTCCTCAGTTACTTGGCTTTTATATTGCAGTATCTTTTCTCTTGTTTCTGCAAGAATTTGTTGGATTTCTTCTTCATGAGCATCTTTAAGGGCTTGAATTGCAGATTCATGCTCATCATTTTTAGTATTTAAAGCATATATTACCTGCATGGTTTTAAAGAAGATGGGAGGAATCAGTAAACCATTTTTCTTTTTTTTAACTTGAAAATTAATTTTTCACTTCGGCTGATATTTTTCTACTATGTACATAACATTGGCTATGACAAATTTAAATACTGAAGCTTCATACACTGTTTTTGTACTCATGGATTGATTTACTCAGCAAACATTTTTTTAAAAAAATTTTAACAGGAAAGGGGGAATTATGTAAATGCCCAGCAAGGGAACAGGAGGCAGGACCTGAGAGATGATCTACCTTAATCTCACCTTAGCAAAATCTAAAACTTTGCATTTGAAAACTTTTAAACTAGGATTTCAAGCTTCCAAAATTAAGAATATGTTACTGAAAATGAAACAGTGAGGAAGAAAAAGACAAAGGGAGCCCTTCTGGACTATGAGAAAGAAGTTCTGCACATGGCCAGTCTACCTTCCTCGGGGCTTGTTGCAGAGATCAAAAAGAAAGCTTCATAGCAAGTACTGGTGTCCTAAGGGGTAAGAGAGGCTTTGCAACTGAGGGGCTCTCTAAGCCCTAAGTCTTCTCAAAGGTCTTTTTCATCTGTTTAATGTCCAATACTTTTTTTTGAAGATTTATTTATTCATTTATACAAGAACCGGGATACAGGCCAGATGTGCGGGAGAGTGAGAGCATTTACCAGAGACAGAGCAGGGAGCAGAACAGGCAGACTAACTGAAATACACTGCTGAGGGGAGCAGTGGGTGTGACAGGAGTGGTATGCTGAGCCATGTGGGACCCTTGCTAGCCGGCTGGGATTGAACCAGCTCTGCTGAGGCTGCGGACAGCTTCACAGCACTGCACGCAACCGCCTGCGCCACCAGGGGAGGCCCTGTCCAATACATTTTAAATTAGTAATTTATTTTCCAGCTTATCCAATGGTCTGTTTTCAAAGTCGATCCTCTTGTTTCCCAGTAGTCTCTTTACAAATTCCAATTAAGGACTTGTCAACTCTCATATTAAATACTGTAGTTTTATTCACTGCCTAATTTTGGCAAAGCAAGCTAGAGTCCTACAACCAGAGTCTTCTGGGTTCTTGTCTTTATTTTCATTTTGTCCTTTGGTTTTAAGGATTCAATTGGGATCCACCCAACCTTAATTTCAAACAACAACATTATTTCCTCTAGAGTAACACTCCCATTCTTGTTTGTCTTTTGATATTCTCCATCACACCACTGTGATCAAAAAGTACAATTTTGGGAGCCTCCCTGGTGGTGCAAGGAGTTAAGACACAACTTACGAAGCTATCCCCGGCCAGGGAGCTACATGGCACAGCAGACCTCTCCTGTCTTGCCCGCTGCTCCCCTCAGCAGTGTATTTCAGTCAATCTGCCTGTTCTGCTCCCCACTCTGTCTCTGGGGAATCCTCTCACCCCCAACTCATATCACTCAGCTGTACCACAGCTTGTATGCATAAATAAAGAAATCTTTTTAAAAAAGTACCATTTCATGACTGTTATTTAAGGCTTAGAGATGTGCCCACTTTATTCTAAAGTAAAAGAAATGAACACTACATAATCCTACAAACCAAAAATCAGTGCTCTGGAGTTTTGCTCATTTGAGTATCATCTTACTTTCACTTTAGAAATGTATTCTAACACCAAACACTAGAAACTGCAATTAAGATGCAATAAGTTCTGCCATTTTTGTAGAGAACTTGTTTATGCAGCCTAGGGCAAGTGAGTCAGATTACCTGGTTTACATACCCTGGTAATTCCATATTCTACTGCATAATCTAAGTTGTCCTCTACTAAACAGTCCAGGGTTCTTAGCATGACAACTCAGGTAGTGAGAAAACCCATTATGTGATTCTGAAAGGATATTATATAAAATATACCATATTGATCAAATATTTTATTCCAGGAAAAGAGTGTTATAATAAGTTTATAAAAACATAAAAAAAGGAAGAAAAAAAAGGTTAGCATACATAATAGAAATTTAGGTATTCTTGTAAATGAGTGCTTGAATATATCATTATCTATATTATTTTTAAACAAGAATGCCATAGATGTTCAAGTTGACTTAAATAAAATGCAGAATCCTTTATCTTTCTAACAGTTATAAAGGTAATCATTTATTAATATCCTTCTCTGATTTATTATTGTATCTCAGATCAAGGAAATGTAAATGTAATTTGTTCTTTGAACAACAGAACATATGTTCTGATAGCTTCTATTTGAACTGTATGAACTAACAAAACTGGATTTTTGACTCTAGGTAACTAAATTTCTTCATGTTTCAAATTTTCCAAAATTAAATAGGGGTCATATTCAGTCTATCCTACTGACATCATAATTATAAGATCAGCCTAGTATTAACATTTAAATAAAATGATGTCATAAAGATTTTTTGAAAAACATAAGGCACCATAAAGATAGTAAGGCTTCCTTAATAGTTTGTATCATTTACTTAGGGAGAGAATGAGACTGATTTTAAAAGAAACTTCAGTGAGTGATCATAATCATCCATAAAATTGGTTATTATTTTTAACATAGGAAAAGGAAATGCTCTAATGTCTCTTTTCATAACTATTTTAAAAGACATTAGGAGCCATTTGCAGTTTTTCTGGAACTATGAACATTCACAGAATATGACAGTACAATCATTTCAGCAATTTCATGCATTTCACAGTTCCATTTTATGCCAGTAGTACACAATTTAACTACATATTCCATGATAAATAATTTTTACTTTTTCTATTAAGATGTTTCAAATAATCTTACCAACAGATAAAATGAGAACAATTCTAAATCACAGCTTTAAAAATCTACTTAGGTAAAATAGTTTTTAAAATAGCCTTTTTTCTTAATTGAAATAACACTGCATTATCACATTATATAAGTTTCAGGTGTTCAACATTGTGGGTTTCTATGGACTGAGCTGTGTCTTCTCTTCCCCACCCAATTCCCTTCCCCTATGTTGAATTCCTAACCTCCAATATCATGGTCTTTGGAGATGGTAATTAAATACCTCTAGGAGGTAATTAAGTTCACATAAGGTCATAAGGGTTAGGGTCTCATGATGGGATTAGTGTCCTTATAAGAAGAGACATCAGTAAGCTCACTTCTTCCCTTTGCCACACGAGGACACATCAAGTAAGTCCACAGTATTTTGTTAAGGCAGATTGAGCTAATACACTGGGAGTATACAAATATGCTCCCACTAAAATCTAGCTTATTAGTTATAAAGTACATTCATTGTAAAGTATGTGTTATATTAGTATAAAATGACAATGAAAATGGAAACAAAAAATTAAGGAGATATTGTAACAGATACCCTGCTAGTTTCCTTAAAACTTAACTAGTGGAATGAAACTGATTTATAAAGGTTATACATTAAAAAATATTTCAAGAATAATGAACATGAATCATTATGTTTATAAAAAACAATATTTTGAGGAAAATGTGAAAAAACCAATTACCTAAATAAAATCTGACATCTTACTAATAAGTCTTTAGTGGTCAATTTCTACTACACACATTAGTGCCTTCAGTAACATAAAAAATTTACCAAAGTCCTGCTATAGGCCAAGACCTATAATTGACACAGAAAATAAAAACTATTTTCCCCCAGGGGACTTGCCTGAATAATAATATCTGATTCTGTGAGCTACTTGTCCTCACTTTTCCAGAGTGGTGTTGAAAAGCCAAAGGCCAGGCTGAAACGGCTCAGAAACATGGAGGGGATTTTTTTTTTTAAGATTTATTTTTATTCATTTATGCATAGAAGAACTAGGATGTAGGCCAGGGGTGCAGGGGATGAGAGGATTCACCTGAGCCAGAGTGGGGAGCAAAACAGGCAGATCTACTGAAATACACTGCTAAAGGGAGCAGTGGGCGAGAAGGGAGAAGTCCTCTACACCATGTGGGTCAGCTCCCTGGCTGGGGATTGAACTCATGCCGAAGAAGTGCCTGATGATAGCTTGATAGTGCTGAGACTTTAACCTCTGTGCTACCAGGAGGTCCTGGAGGGTTTTTTTTTAAGAGACTGTGAGATTGGTGAAGAAATAAGGCACCAGCAGATGGATATTTAAAGAGGGTTTTAATGGTATTTCACATATTAAGAGAGATTTAAGCCCTCTTAACCCATATTCTCACAAAATATTCAGCCACATATTAATTTGCTATTAATGACTGTAGAACTCGATCCAGGAGGAAGATGCACTGAATTTCTGATCATCAAGGTGAGGGGAAAAGGAGATTTTACTTAGACAGAGTAGTTTAGTTTCTACAATGAACTATGTCATTTTTCCCCCTTTTCTTGTGCTAGTTTCTTTTAAGTTAGAAAGAAAAATTTGAAAGACAAAGGCTGTTCTTCATACGTTGTATGGTCAAATTAATAACAATAGGCTTAGTGCTATTTATGAAATGAAATCTGAAAGTATAATGTCCATAAAAAGGGGGAGGGTACATGTTCCCTGCCCCATCTAATGAAGAGTAGTGTAGAGTGGGGAGGAGAAGCTAAGAAGACTTGGGGAACAGAGACGTGAACAAGCTGTGCTTGCTTCTTGGCATTGTAATTATACCAGGGACCTGGGGACATGGAAGGAGATACATGGAGACACACAGAGACACTTGGAAGAGACATGGCTCAGAGGCCCATGGGGAAGCTGACAACGACAGTCATTACTTTTTAAATTGTACTTTGATTTTTTTTTTTAAAGAAAACTTCTTGAGAGTTTTCTTTTTATATATATATATATTTTAAGATTTATTTATTTATTTATACAAGCACTGGGTACAGTCAGAAGCGCGGGAGGGCGAGAGAATTCACCAGAGCCAGAGCGGGGAGCAGAGCAGGCAGAAGGACCGAAGCACACTGCTGAGGGGAGCAGCGGGCGGCAGGAGAGGTTTGCACGCCATGTGGGACCCTCCTCCGGTGGTCGGGGAGCAGCCGGGGATCAAACCAGCGCTGCAGATGCTGCGGGCAGCTTTGCAACCCAGCGCTCAACCGCTGCGCCACCTGGGAGGTCCTGTACTTTGATTTTGCTCCTT